GTCATTACAAACTTTGTACGGAAAAGACTTAGTTCATTATTTATTAGTTTATTTAGCGGGAAAAATTTGTTGGTTCAGCGAAAAGAAAGCTTGGAGGCAGTTTTCATTATTTTCTTCCAATGTCAAGATTCTAATGAGTGACATTTTATGACAAATTCCTGATAGAGTACGAGTTCAACAAGTTCATCTTTAACTAGTACGAGTTCAACAAGTTCATCTTTAACTATCTCCTGAGCAAAATTATCGCAAGAATGGAAGAAAATATTTTTTGACTGCCACTATCTCCAGCTCACCTAATAATAGTTTCCGCTCACAACCTCGAGCATGACGCGCTGTGAAGCACTAGACTGTTATCGCCTCAGCGATGGGACGAAATCTATTTGTGAAATCCGATCTGGTGCTTACAAAGGCAGCTTATCCACTTCAAAGCAAGCCGCCGCCACTTGAAACCTGTTTGCTGTAGTTATTAGATGCTTAAGCGTCCCAGACTTTACAAAGGTAAATATGTGCGTGACCATATGGTGACCAGCTTGTGTGGAATTCATGAATATTAAACTATTCCATGTTACAACGAAACACGAGAGTTATAGTGATAGTAAAAAAGAAAAAGATTTCGGAGAATGTGAAAGAAAGACGAGCTTCTCGGCCAGCGAACTACAGGAACTCTTTCTTGACGAAATCTAGGGCGAGATTCTGAAAAAACAAGAACTCTAAGCAAAGAGCCGGTCCTTGACTCACTTCATCTTTCAACTTCGTGGACCTCAGCAAAGTTGTAACTCAATGTTCTGACCATTTTCCAAATTGACTTGAGCCCGTTGGACTCCTTCACTTTTCTCGGTGGCTGACACATCAACTTGAGGCATTTTGTGCCCCCATTTAAGACCTAGACTTTGGTAATTGAAGCTGAGTAATGGACTCGCGGAGAAATCGGGTAATTAACGTTGGGCAGTTAGTGAAATGATGCCCCACTCATGGTTCTATCTTCAGAATTCTCATAACAACTAGATGTATGAATTGACTGCGGGAGTCTGGCCTCTGGCCACATATATCACCATAGGTGACGCGCCCAAGTTTACACCTTTTCCGTCCTCTGAAAGTAGCTCCAGTTCGATAGGACCGCTCCATCGCAATCCAGTCGTGCATCAAGCTGTGCCCTGCTCGAAAAAGCTTCCAGCCTTCTTCTCACCCTCTATCATTCGTAAAAGAATCGCATAAAATCGGCGAAGAGTAAACAAACTGACGCTATTTATTGTTGACAACCGATGAGAAATGCCCGATAACAACGAGATCTAGTCCAACAAGAGTAAACACTAAAGCGTTCCTCAAGATCACTTGATGGTTTCAAGTATCCTTATCATCTAATCGCCAGACAATTCAGTGGCAGGTGAATCAGCAATGAAGTGAAAGGAAGAGGAGTAAGTACACAGGAAAGAAGGAAGAGATTTGGGGTATGAAGTAAGGGGCGCTGTGCTCCTGAACGGTCGCCTATAGAGCATAGTTTATGA